TAAGAACGAAACATGCGCCAGATATAGGTCAGCACCACCGTCCTTATCTTCTCGCTCCACCACGTAGTTATCGTAACCGGCAGGCTCCACTATCCGTAACGGCCCAATCCACGGGTGTACAAACTTAGACGCTCGCGGCCCTCTCGGTGGCCTGTACATCCATACTCTGTCGCCCACTTTAAAACTTCGGCGCTGCCGCACCTTCCTGTTATAGTACCGAGCTTGTCGTAGCTGCTCGTGCTCACGCGCTCGCTCTGCACATCGTTGCCCTTCTCTCATCGCCACCAGTAGACGTTTATGGTACGCCGTGAGTTCGCCGGCCTCCGTCACATGCGTCATTCGCAATAACTCGTTCGGGGATCGCAGCTTCCTCCCCATCATCAACTCGTTTGGTGATAGCAAGACCGTCGAATGTCGCCCTGCGTTGTAGGCGTACACCGCGAAGTCGACCCACCCGTCCCCAATCCTTTTGTTCGTCTGTCTGCATGTACGTGGCCACACAGTCTTTCCAGGTTCGGTGGAACCGCTCCACCAGACCAATCATCTGCGGCCTGTACGGAAGAGGGTTTACCTGTTCGGCCTGGAGCATGATCACCAACTGCTCGATTACTCGTCCTGTCAACTCCGGAGCTCCATCCGTTAGCAGCTCTCTGAAGGGCCCGAACTTCAACACAATGTCCTTCATGAGAAACGCGGCTACACTCTCGGCTGTGTGCTGCTCGACAGCCTTCGCAACTGCGTACCTGGTCACATACTCTACAGCTGCTATAACATACCGTTGTCCGCCACCCATCACCGGCAGTGGTCCAGCAACATCTAGCGCCCAGCGATCCCCCACGTCACCACCACGCAAGCTGCGTAAGGGAGGCACGACCTCACGGGGACGCGCCTTCCTGCTTCCACACTCTTGGCAACCAAGGACCCAGCGCTTCACTTCGCGCTCGAGTCCGGGCCACCAAAACGCTTGAGCGATACGACTGTAGGTGTCTGGAGCCCGCAGATGACCCGCCCACACCGAGTTGTGGCTCTCTTTGAACGCGACTGTCCACAGCTCAGGAGGCAATACCACACGCTTCCCGCGTGGCGTCTCAACCAGCACGAGGCCGTATTCCATCGTGACGTTCATGCCGTGGTACAGGCCTGAATCCCGTAGCCGTTGCACCATCCGACTCCTTGACTGCGCCTCGCTAATCACTACATCTGTGAGCTGCAGTGTCGGCTCGTACGTTGCCGCTCCAGTCCGACGCACCGGTTGCTCGCTTCTCGATATTGTCGGCTTCTTTCGCGCTTCCGGCTTCTCCAACGTCGCGTTGTTCTTCCCATGCGTCGCTGGTCTACTCTTTCCTTGGCAGCGCTCCCTCGCCGTGGTTTCTGACTGCTGTGCGTCTACCGACGACGCCCACGTGACCAAGTGTCGCTTCGGGTTGGCGGCACCATCCTGTTGTCTCGGCGGCGACGGCTTTCCGGAAGCCACCGTGCTCGTACTTGCATCGACCGACACCTCATCCTCATCTACAGTGTCCATCTCTTCCGCACTGGACACCAACTCACTTGCATGTCCCACCCCACTCGTCGTGACGACTGTTCTAGGTCGTTGCGCTTCTTCAGCTGCCCGCTTAGCCGCTCTGGCCCACGGTCGTGAGATCACTACCGGCAGTGCTCGTATGCTGCCCGCGTCCGTGTCCTTCCTTACTAACGTAGTTGCCACACTCTCCACGTTACCAATCTCTCGCTCCGGCGGCTCCTTATCCGCCAATAGCTTACTGGCACTTCGCATCACCCCCTTCATGGCTGGCACGTCTCCACTGATCGTTAAATTCTTCGTGACCTGGTCTTCTGATGACTCCGTCGGCTCGTACTTCGCTTGGTCGGCTCCAGTTATCCCTACCGTACTCGTTTCTCCGTCAACTGTACTTCGTCGTGCCCGTCGTCGACTTCCCGCCGCTGCCAACGTCAGCACTGGAGCCCTGGACAAGGCGTCCGCCACGACGTTCGTACTGCCCGCTCTATACTCGACCGTGAAGTCGAATTCTTGCAGAGTCAGCGCCCACCTGTGTAACTTACCCGTCAGATTTGTGCTCGTCATGAGCCACTTGAGTGCTGCGTGATCGGTGACAATCACGAACTGTCGTCCGTACAGGTAAGGCCGGAATAGTTTGATCGACCACAAGACAGCCAAGCACTCTAACTCCGTGATACTGTACTTCGCTTCCGCCTCGCTGTTGACCTTGCTGGCATAGGCTATCGGTTGCCAACCCTTCCCGTGGTCCTGCATCAAGCAGGCGCCGAGGCCCACCGTACTTGCGTCCGTCATCACTCGGAACGGCAGCTTGAAGTCCGGATACGCGAGCACCGGCTTCCTCGTTAACACCATCTTGACATACTCAAATGCGGTCTCCTGTACAACCGTCCACTCCCAGTCTGCATCCTTCCGGAGTAGTTTTGTCAATGGGGCCATGATGGACCCGAATTCCGCAACGAACCTCCGATAGTAGCCCGCAAGATGAACGAAGCGCTTCACCTGGACAGCGTCTTTGGGCCGCGGAAATTCTTGTACCGCGGTGACAATTCGTTGTAGAGGTCTCACACCTTCCGAGCTCAGCTCATGACCTAGATACTCCATGCTCTGAGTGGCGAACACGCATTTCTTCAGCTTTAGCGTGAGACCCGCCACCGAAAGACGCTCCATTACGCACGCCAATTCGAGAACATGCCGTTCAATACTTCCACGCGTGTACACCACGATGTCATCCAAGTACACAAGGCAGGTAATCCATGTCAATCCTCGTAGCACCGTATTCATCATCCGCTGAAATGTCGATGGAGCGTTAGTGAGGCCAAAGGGCATTCGTACAAATTGATAGAGTCCCTGTTTTGTTGTAAACGCCGTCTTGGCCCTGTCTTCTTTCGCCATTCGTATTTGCCAGTAGCCGGCCTTCAGGTCCAGCGTGGTGAACAAGACAGCACCACCCAACGCTTCCAACGTTTCGTCGATACGGGGCAAAGGATAAACATCCTTCCGTGTTATTTTGTTTAAGGCTCGGTAGTCCACACAAAACCGAACCTCGCCATCCTTCTTGCGAACGAGCACAACAGGGAAGCCCCACGCG